AAGATGTGAAGTTGTTGGTCCCTATTAAATGTCCACCAAATTTCCCAGCATGGCCCCTGCAAAAACTGGAAGGATCCTGGAAGATTAAAGCAGACTACTGTAAACTTAAAAAAAGTAGTAGTCCCAATTGCAGCAGCCATGTCAAATGTGGTATTTTCGCTAGAGAAGATCATTATGTTCTCAGGTATGTCATATAAATCCATTAATATGGTGAATATGTTCTATTCTGCTAAGGTAAGAAGGGGCTGTTGTTCACACAGAATAGGCAATATTATATGTTTGCAGTTTTGCCCTAGGACTATGCCAACTCTCCCACCCTCCAAACTATTTGAGAAAAAACTATCTTGCAGAACAGTACATTGATTTACTGCATCAATGCTGTTATGTTAATCGGGCCAGACAGGCAAAAAGTTGCTGTCATAATCCTTGTTAAGACATAAGTGCTTCACAGAATGAAAGATAAACCCTACAAAGATTCAGGGGCCTTCACATTATTAAAATTACAGGGTTCCTATGAACAGGGATATGCCAGGATATTCATTCCAAAATAAAAGACAACTTACCACATTTTATACTTCTCACCACAAGAAAAAAAAAAAAGGTCAACATCTTTGAGTTATGTGGGTGGCACATTTCATTATTCTATATGTGAGATTACTGCTGTGGCCCATATGCGGGATAATACCAATGGCTGTCAGATTTGGGGGAGCCCAGAACAGGAAAAACTCGGCTACAAGTCTAGACAGTGGTATAAGCAGTTTTGCTGCTTGGCCATGCAACCCGGTAGACTCTATAATATTAGAGGTATTGGAAGTAGGTAAAGATGACCTTTGCAGCTTCTGGAAAGCCCAACATGCAGAATCACATGTATATACCTGAGGCTCTGGAACAAGGTCATCTAATATGCCCTTGAAAAACAACTGATGGCATGTCCTGGTGGAGATGAAGCACCTGACCATGGGATACCAAATGATGGATTATTTATCCACAAATGCCTATTAGCAGCTGGGGTCTGTCAGATAGATCCATTGCATCATAAAGCTGGCAGCAAACCATCATAATACAGAATGGCAAGTCAGAAGTTAAGATGCTTGCACAGAGAGCCCAGACTCCCATCTTATCCACCAATGTTGGATAGTGTCCCTTCTTTGGCACATATCTACAACAAGCTGACACAGAAAAAACTTCGGCTTGGTTTTTGAATGGGTCATCTGGGTATGTGGGTGCAATATGAAAATGGATGGCAACTGCCATTGGTCAGAGCTAGTCCCAAAATCTGCCTGACTCCAATGATGCTGGGAAGTGTCGTTTCTCAAATGCCTGCAAAGGAGCCAGATAGTATTGGTGAGCACGTGTAATATCTAGCACAAAAAGCATTTTTAGACTTGTTTTTCTTCTTTTCCTTATTGATCACTTTCTAAATGTTTCTTTAATTTGTCTAATTTTCTCTACCTCTCTTTGTGGTAGATGGGAGATACACTGCCCAAACTGGTGAGAGAAAATTTTTCCAATGGACAGAGCTTTTGGCAGTGCCTTCTCCCACATGTTCATCCACATGCCTTTACCCTAGACTTACTTGCCTACAGTCTTTCAATTTCTCCTCTTCTAGGCCCTGACCAGCCTGTCAAGATTATTCACCACTGCCCAGAAGTATGTTTTATGCTGATCTCAGGCCATTTCCTCTTCCTCACAAATAAGATAAACTATTCTTAGAAATCAGAAAGGTTTTGTGCAATTTATTTTGTCTGATTAAAAAAATGAAAATTATTTAACTTCTCCTTGTTGAGTCACCTAATTTACATCCCCAAGTCTGAGGAAAGCTTGCTATGTGGTCAAGGAATCATTACTGTATTAGTTAATTTCTACTCTCCTTTAATAATCATTGATATTTGATATATGGTATATTATGGCAATAAAATTAAAATTGCAGAATGATTATTAACCAGTTTGACTAGTATAAGAATAGTATACATATCTTTCTCATAACTAAAAAATGAATTTTATAGCATTGTTTGTCTCAACTAGCATTCTAACTTTTTACTGTTGATAGCCATATATGTTTTGTTTTCTAAAACATTGTGTATTCTTTTTGAAGAGTTATATTAAAAAGGAGAGTGAAAAAGAAGCAATGGGGAAAGGATTCACTATTTAATAAGTGGGTTTGGAAGAACTGGATAACAATATGCAAAAAATTGAAGCTAGACCCCTTCGTTAATACCTTACAAAAAATTAACTCAGGATGGATTAAAGACTTAAATAGAAAATCTAAAGCCATAAAACCCCTAGAAGAAAACCTAGGCAATACCATTTAGGACATAGGCCTAAGCAAATATTTCATAACAAAAACTCCAAAAGCAACTGCAACAAAAGCAAAAATTTACAAATGGGATGTAATTAAACTAAAGAGGTTCTGCACAGCAAAAGAAACTATCATTAGAATGAACAGACAACCTATAGAATGGGAGAAAAATTTTGCAATCTATCTATCTGACAAAGGTCTAATATCCAGAGTTTACAAGGAACTTAAACAAATTTATAAGAAAAATATAAATTAAAAAGTCAGCATAGGATCTGAACAGATACTTCTCAAAAGAAGACATTCATGTGTATAACAAACATATGAAGGAAAGCTCAACATCACTGATCGTTAGAAAAACGCAAATCAAAACCACAATGAGATATCATCTCATGCATGCCAGTCAGAATGATGATTATTAAGAAGTCAAGAAACCACAGATGCTGGAGAAGTTGTGGAGAAAAAGAAATGCTTTTACACTGTTGGTGGGAGTGTAAATTAGTTCAACCATTGTGGAAGACATTATGGCGATTCCTTATAGATCTAGAAGCAAAAATATCATTTGACTCAGCAATTCCATCACTGGGTACATATGCAAAGGAATATAAATCATTATATTATAAATGTACATGCACATGTATGTTCGTTGCAGCACTATTTGCAATGGCAAAGACATGGAATCAACCCAAATGCCCATCAGTGATAGACTGGAGAAAGAAAACATGGTACATATACCCCATGGACTACTATGCAACCATAAAAAGGAATGAGATCATGTCCTTTGCAAGGACATGGATGGAGCTGGAAGCCATTATCCTCAGGAAACTAACACAGGAACAGAAAAACAAACACTGCATGTTCTCACTTAAGTGGGAGCTGAATGATGAGAACATATGGACCCCTGGTGGTGAACAACACACACTGGGGCCTGTTTCAAGGGTGAAGGGAGGGAGAGTATCAGGAAGAACAGCTAATAGATCCTGGGCTTAATACCTAGGTGATGGGTTGATCCTTGCAGCAAACCACTATGGAACATGTTTACCTACGTAACAAACCTGCACATCCTGCACATGTACCCTGGTACTTAAAATAAAAGTTCAAGAAAAAAACATAAAGAAAGAAGAGTGAAATATCTATAGGAACATAAATAATATTTGATTAATTGGAAAATTATTTTGCAGTTTCCTTAACTCTATCTTTCAAGACAAATAGGCTGATAAAATTCTGAATTGCTGATAAATATATTTGGCCATCCATTTGTATATCATAAACAAGACAAACTTTCATTCAGTTTTCAAATGCAGCTCATATTGTAATTAACTTAGTTATTATTTCTGAACTACACTTTATTAATTACTTTCCGTTTGTGATTAACCTGAATTTAATGATTTCTTTAAATGAAAATGCCTTTTCAAAGAATTTTGCTGGATATCTTCAAGATTTGTTTAATAGGCCTGTGTATTCCATTATTACCATGATAAAAAAAATCATGTGTTTTTTTGTTTGTGACAGATAATAAAAATCAATATAGCATCAATAATTTGAAAAATATTTGAAAAGAAGCTGAGCCATATAATTTAAAAATAAACAAAAATCTAAGGATTACATTTTTTCAAATGAACATTTTGAAACAATGGTTACTTTGAAAATAGAGCAGGTTTTAAATAACAGATCCTTTAATAGTGATTGCATCAAGAAATTTGGTAGTACTTATATAAGTTTCTTGAAAATAAAACAGTAAAACCATTAGAAGTATGACATAGCTGATAGTATTTCATTTTATCCTTATTTGATGTATAACAAAACTCCTTTGTGGAGTTTTTAAAGGTTTTTTTAAAAATGGGTTTATAATAATTACTAGTGCAATAATAATGCAAAAAAAATACAGAAGTACAAGGGAGTAATCCCTGGATGTTATATGTTACCATAGAAATATTTGAAAACGGTGACTCAATGTAGGAAAAATCTATTTCCTTAATTTAAGTAAAACATTTCTAAAATCAGTGTAAAATAAGATAAAGGCTCTAAAATTATTCGTTATTTATAATATCCTGAATATACTCATGAAGACAACTAATGCTGTAAGTCTTAAAAGTAATGAGATCACAAGGATCTAGAAATAGAAATTCTATTTGACTCAGCAATCCCATTACTGGATATATACCCAGAAGATTATAAATCATTCTATTAAAGACATATGCACATATATGTTCATTGCAGCACTGTTTACAATAGCAAAATCCTGGGACCAACCCAAATGCCCATCAATGATAGACTGGACAAGAAAAACGTGGCACTATACACCATGGAATACTATGCAGCCATAAAAAATTAGATTTCATGTCCTTTGTAGGGACAGGGATGAATCTGGAAACCATCATTCTCAGCAAACTGACAAAAGAACAGAAAATCAAACACCGCATGTTCTCACGTATAGGCTGTGTTGAACAATGAGAACACATGGACACAGGGAGGGGAGCATCACACACTGGGGTCTGTTGGGGGGAACTAAAAGAGGGGCAGCAGAGGGTAGGGAGGTTGGGGAGGGATAACATGGGGAGAAATGCCAAATATAGGTGATGGGAGGATGGAGGCAGCAAACCACCTTGCCATGTAAGTACCTATGCAACAACCCTGCATGATCTGTACATTTACCACACAACCTAAAGTAAAATTAAAAAAAAAAAGTAATGAGATCATTTCCTTTAAGTGTAATGAGTGGTTTATAGATAAGTAGGCAAATTCCAGCAGAGAATTTTATATACATTTGTCAAGAGTATATGTGCTTTTTATGTTCTATACAAAACATTTTTTATATTCAACATTCAAATATTTTCTGACAGTAAACAAAAATACTTTTTCACAATTGAACTCCTTCTATTATTAAAGATAGCTCAGCACTTTTTCTGTTTACAGAATGAGACACAGGCTGTCTTGATAGATGACTACATTTTTGTCTAATTTCCCCCATACAGTTATTATATCTTTTAGACAAACTAAATTTAGCTGTGTCCCAATTGACAATAAGATTGAAATCCTCTGGAAGTAAAGTTGTTCTTTTGTTGTCTCCTCTTATTTTAGTACCAGGGGTCTTCTTTAGGTTGTGGTTATTACATTTACAGCCTTTGGTCATCTGGCTTTGACTAGTGTGGTATTTCCCACTGATGCATGGATTTTCCATTCCAGTGGAACATACAGTGTTCTTATGAACAATAGGAGGAAGAAATGTTTCAGATGGTAGTTTTCCAAATGATGCAGTGGGTAGATCTTGAAGATACCTGGGGAAATGATGGCTAATTTTATATTCATAGGTTAATTTACTTGAATTATCTAATTTGATAGAGCATAGATTACCGATTGTTATATTTTCATAGGCATCTTTTGGGCTTTGAAGCATATTCAATTTATCAAAATTACATTGAGGTATACTAGGTAAAATTCCAAGTCTATTTTGTTTTAAGACTAATCCAGTACCAGGAATAAAAAGTTCTGGTTCTTCTTGCTTTGATAGATGAATGATGTCTCTGTTTGAAACAGACTGATGTGCTTGTCCATTCATTGCTGCATTTTTCCAAGTTAAAGGGTTATATATGACTACTCCATCAATAGGGCATGAATTGCACTTGTGGATTAACCAATTGTCAATACATTTCCTGTGAAACTTTAAAAAAAAATAGCTAATCAGAGCTATAATAATCTTTATAATATTTAAATAAATTTCTACCAGTTTTATACCTGTGTGATTATTAAAAATATTTAGCAAATTGAAAAATAATAATTTATCAGGTTTTATGAAAATACTTTGAAGAAGTTCACTTCTAAATATAACTGATGTAGGGACTGATTTCCATTTTTGATATTAAAATGCAAAGACTTTTATGGATAGCACTCTTGTAATTTTGTTAAAAACTATCTACTTAAAGCTATTAATTTCACTGCTGTCTAATTATTTCTAATGAAAATTATTTTAAAAGTCACTGGGAGGGAGGATTCAAGATGGCGCTGTGAGAACAACCCAGGATTGGAGTTCTCGTGGTGTCTGCGGAGAGGTGAGTCTGAGCTGCATTTCCAGACTGATCTTTGTTGCTCACAGAACGGGGAAATTCCCAAGTGAAGAGGAAACGTGGGACGCCAGGCAGATATTCCGCCTGGCGAAGCCGGCAGCCGGGGTGGCGGCGTCCGGCCCTACCCAGCGCTCCCCACAGGGCGCACTTGTCCGGGTGCCCCGTTGAACCAGCAACCGGAGACGTGAGAGGGCTGGACTTGAGACTGAGCTAGACTTGAACAGTGGGCCAGCCCAGGGGATTGCAGGAACAGAGCGTTAGGATTGGCCCAGTGGGACAAACAAAACCGCAATTTCAAACAAGCCCCGTGCAGACGGCCCGAGACGCTCTGAGGGGGAGGGGCGGCCACCATTACCGAGGTAACCCGCCCCAACTGAGATACACGCCCATTGCTGACGCAGCCAGCCGTTGCCGAGACAACCCGCTACAACAGAGAGACTCCGCCGCAGGGCGTGGCGGAGAACAGCAGAACAGCGGAGCCAGGGTGAGCCTCACAACGGCAGGGCGGAGCCTCGGCAGGCAAACAGTGGCTAGTCTGCATCCTAGCTGGGCAGGACCTCAACGGACATCCAAAAATAAAGCCCAAACCCCTCAACACAGCATTTGAGAAAAAAAAGGGTTTTTTTAATGAGCTCTGTTGCAGCAGAATCAAACATAGCAGCCTAACAGCCCTGAATGAACAACATAGCTCACAGCTCAGCAATTAAACCCCTATAAAGTACAAACTGTCTCCTCAAGCAGCTCCCTGACCCCTCTATAGCCAAAAGACTGACATTAGGCAGGCACCATCCTGGGACAAAGATAGCAGAAAAAGAAACTGGTAGCATCCCTCGCTGTGCCACAGCTGCTAGAGGTGCACCCCAGACAAGCAGGGTCTGGAGCGGACCTCAGCACTCATACAGCGAAGGGGCTAGACTGGTAGAAGGAAAACCAAGCAACAGAAATACTTCATAATCAACATTCAGGGTGTCCACTCAGAGACCCAATCGAAAAGTCAGCAACTACGCAGACGACCAGCGGACAAATCCGCAAAGATGGGAAGAAACCAGCGCAAAAAGGAGGAAAACACCCAAAACCAGAACACCTCGCCTCCGAGAAAGGACCAAAACTCCTCACCAGCAAGGGAACAAAGCTGGACGGAGAATGACTGTGACGAAATGACGGAATTAGACTTCAGAAGATGGATAATGAGAAACTTTTGTGAGCTAAAAGATCATGTATTAAATCAATGCAAAGAAACTAAGAACCTTGAAAAAAGATTTGAAAAAGGATTCGAGGAAATGATAACAAGAATGGATAACTTAAAGAGGAATATGAATGAATTAAAGGAGCTGAAAACACAATACGAGAACTTCGCAAAGCAAACACAAGTTTCAATAGCCGAATTGACCAAGCAGAAGAAAGAATATCTGAAGTCGAAGACCAACTCAATGAAATAAAACGAGAAACCAAGATTAGAGAAAAAAACGCAAAAAAGGAATGAACAAAGTCTCCAAGAAATGTGGGACTATGTGAAAAGACCTAACCTACGTTTGATAGGTGTACCAGAAGGGGACGAAGAGAATGAATCCAAGCTGGAAAATACTCTTCAGGACATCATCCAGGAAAATTTCCCCCACCTAGCAAGACAGGCCAACACTCAATTGCAGGAAATTCAGAGAACACCACAAAGATATTCCGCAAGAAGAGCAACCCCAAGGCACATAATCGTCAGATTCAATAGGGTTGAAATAAAGGAGAGAATACTAAAGGCAGCCAGAGAGAAAGGTCGGGTCACCCACAAAGGGAAGCCCATCAGACTCACAGCAGATCTCTCGGCAGAAACACTACAAGCCAGAAGAGAGTGGGGGCCAATATTCAACATTCTTAAAGAAAAGAACTTTCAACCCAGAATTTCATATCCAGCCAAACTGAGCTTCAGAAGTGAAGGAAAAATAAAATCCTTTGCGAACAAGCAAGTACTCAGAGATTTTGTCACCACCAGGCCTGCTTTACAAGAGCTCCTAAAAGAGGCACTACACATAGAAAGGATCAACCAGTACCAGCCATTCCAAAATCACACTGAATGCTAAAGAGCATCAACATAATGAAGAATCTACAACAACTAACAGGCAAAACAGCCACTTAGCATCAAAATGGCAGTATCAAATTCACACATAACAATATTAACCCTAAATGTAAATGGACTAAATGCACCAATCAAAAGACACAGACTGGCAAATTGGATAAAAATCCAAAACCCATCAGTGTGCTGTATCCAGGAAACCCATCTCACATGCAAGGATACACAAAGGCTCAAAATAAAGGGATGGAGGAAGATTTATCAAGCAAATGGAAAGCAAAAAAAAGCAGGAGTTGCAATTCTCATCTCCAATAAAATAGACTTTAAAGCAACAAAGATCAAAAGAGACAAAGAAGGCCATTACATAATGGTAAAAAAATCGATACAACAAGAAGAGCTAACGATCCTAAACATATATGGACCCAATGCAGGAGCACCCAGATACATAAGACAAGTTCTCAAGGACTTACAAAAGGACTTAGACTCTCACACAATAATAGTGGGAGACTTTAACACTCCACTGTCAATACTAGACAGATCTACCAGACAAAAAATCAACAAGGATATCCAGGGCTTGGACTCAGACCTGGAGCAAGCAAACCTGATAGACATTTACAGAACTCTCCACCCCAAATCCACAGAATACACATTCTTCTCAGCACCACATCACACCTACTCTAAAATTGACCACATAATTGGAAGTAAAGCACTGCTCAACAAATGCAAAACAACTGAAATCATAACAAACAGCCTCTCAGACCATAGTGCAATCAAGTTAGAACTCAGATTCCAGAAACAGACCCAGAACTGCACAGCTTCATGGAAACTGAACAACTGGCTCTTGAATGTTGACTGGGTAAACAACGAAATGAAGGCAGAAATAAAGGAGTTCTTCGAAACCAATGAGAACGAAGACACAACGTGCCAGAACCTCTGGGACACATTTAAAGCAGTCTCTAGAGGAAAGTATATAGCAATAAGTGTCCATATGAGGAGAATGGAGAGATCCAAAATTGACACCCTATCGTCAAAATTGAAAGAGCTAGAGGACCAAGACCAAAAAAACTCAAAACCCAGCAGAAGACAAGAAATAACTAAGATCAGAGCTGAGCTGAAGGAGATTGAGACACGAAAAACCCTTCAAAAAATCAATAAATCCAAGAGCTGGTTTTTTGAAAAGATCAACAAAATAGACAGACCACTAGCCAGATTGATTAAAAATAAAAGAGAGAACAATCAAATAGATGCAATAAAAAATGATAAAGGGGAAATCACCACAGATTCCACAGAAATTCAAACCATCATCAGAGAATATTACAAACAACTCTATGCGCATAAACTAGTAAACCTGGAAGAAATGGAAAAATTCCTGGATTCCTGTGTCCTCCCAAGCCTAAACCAGGAGGAAGCTGAAACTATGAATAGACCAATAACAAGGTCTGAAGTTGAGGCAGCAATTAAGAGCCTACCACACAAAAAAAGCCCAGGTCCAGACGGGTTCACAGCCGAATTCTACCAGACACACAAGGAAGAGCTGGCACCATTTCTTCTAAAACTATTTCAAACAATCCAAAAAGAGGGAATCCTTCCCAAATCATTTTATGAGACCAACATCATCCTGATACCAAAACCCAGCAGAGACCCAACAAGAAAAGAAAACTTCAGGCCAATATTTATGATGAACATAGATGCAAAAATCTTCAATAAAATATTGGCAAGCCGATTGCAACAGCAAATCAAAAAACTTATTCATCATGATCAAGTAGGATTCATCCTGGGGATGCAAGGCTGGTTCAACATACGCAAGTCTATAAATGTAATTCACCACATAAACAGAACCAAAAACAAAAACCACATGATTATCTCAATTGACGCAGAGAAGGCATTTGACAAAATTCAACAGCCCTTTATGCTAAAAACCCTCAATAAACTCGGTATCGATGGAACGTATCTCAAAGTAATAAAAGCTATTTATGTCAAACCAACAGCCAATATCATACTGAATGGGAAAAAACTGGAAGCATTCCCTTTGAAATCTGGCACTAGACAAGGATGCCCTCTTTCACCACTCCTATTCAATATAGTACTGGAAGTTCTAGCCAGAGCAATCAGGCAAGAAAAAGAAATAAAGGGTATTCGAATAGGAAAGGTGGAAGCGAAATTGTCTCTATTTGCAGACGACATGATAGTATACCTAGAAGACCCCATTGCCTCAGCCCAAAAACTCCTGAAACTGATAAGCAACTTCAGCAAAGTCTCAGGATATAAAATCAATGTGCAAAAATCACAAGCATTCGTCTACACCAATAACAGACTTAAAGAAAGCCAAATCAAGAGTGAACTGCCATTCGCAATTGCTACAAAAAGAATTAAATACCTTGGAATACAACTCACAAGGAACGTAAGAGACCTCTTCAAGGAGAACTACAAACCACTGCTCAACGAAATCAGAGAGGACACAAACAGATGGAGAAACATTCAGTGTTCATGGTTAGGAAGAATTAATATCGTGAAAATGGCTATACTGTCCAAAGTAATTTACAGAATCAACGCTATCCCCATCAAGCTACCATTGACTTTCTTCACAGAACTGGAAAAAACCACCATGAACTTCATATGGAACCAAAAGAGAGCCCGCATAGCCAAGTCAATTCTAAGCAAAAAGAACACAGCGGGGGGCATCACACTACCGGATTTCAAACTATTCTACAAGGCTACAGTAATCAAAACAGCATGGTACTGGTACCAAAACAGAGATATAGACCAATGGAACAAAACAGAGGCACCAGAGGCAACACAACATACATACAACTATACAATCTATGATAAACCTGACAAAAACAAGCAATGGGGAAAGGATTCCATGTTTAACAAATGGTGTTGGGAAAACTGGCTAGCCATGTGCAGAAAGCAGAAACTGGACCCCTTCCTGACACCTTACACTAAAATTAACTCCAGATGGATTAAAGACTTAAACATAAGACCTGGCACCATAAAAACCCTAGAAGAAAATCTAGGCAAAACTATCCAGGACATAGGAGTAGGCAAGGACTTATGAACAAAACACCAAAAGCATTGGCAACAAAAGCCAAAATAGACAAATGGGACCTAATGAAACTCCACAGCTTCTGCACGGCAAAAGAAACAGTCACTAGAGTGGATCGGCAACCAACAGAATGGGAAAAAATTTTTGTAGTTTACCCGTCTGACAAAGGGCTGATATCCAGAATTTACAAAGAACTCAAACAGATTTACAGGAAAAAAACAAACAAGCCCATTCAAAAGTGGGCAAAGGATATGAACAGATACTTTACGAAAGAAGACATATATGAGGCCAACAATCATATGAAAAAATGCTCATCGTCGCTGATCATCAGAGAGATGCAAATCAAAACCACATTGAGATACCATCTCACGCCAGTTAGAATGGCGATCATTAAAAAATCTGGAGACAACAGATACTGGAGAGGATGTGGAGAAAAAGGAACACTTTTACACTGTTGGTGGGAGTGTAAATTAGTTCAAACATTGTGGAAGACGGTGTGGCGATTCCTCAAGGCCTTAGAAATAGAAATTCCATTTGACCCAGCAATCCCATTACTGGGTATATATCCAAAAGACTATAAATCCTACTATAAGGACACATGTACACGAATGTTCATTGCAGCACTGTTTACAATAGCAAAGACCTGGAATCAACCCAAATGCCCATTGATAATAGACTGGATTGGAAAAATGTGGCACATATACACCATGGAATATTATGCAGCAATCAGAAATGATGAGTTTGTGTCTTTTGTAGGGACATGGCTGAATCTGGAGAACATCATCCTCAGCAAACTGACACAAGAACAGAAAATGAAACACCGCATATTCTCACTCATAGGTGGATGATGAAAAATGAGAACACATGGACACAGAAAGGGGAGTACTAAACACTGGGGTCTATTGGGGGGAAAAGGGGAGGGCCAGTGGGAGGGGGAGGTGGGGAGGGATAGCCTGGGGAGAAAAGCCAAATGTGGGTGAAGGGGAGAAGAAAAGAAAGCACACTGCCATGTGTGTACCTACCCAACTGTCTTGCATGCTCTGCTCATGTACCCCAAAACCTATAATCCAATAAAAAATTAAAAAAAAAAAGAAAGTCACTGGGAGGAAGTCAGCAAATCACGCTGCCATGTGTGTACCTATGTAACAATCTTGCACATTCTTCACATGTACCCCAAGACCTAAAATGCAATTTAAAAAAAGTCATAACCAACTGGAGTTGAAAATGGATCTGATGACAGTAAGATATAAAATAACAAGCTAAATTTTTGGAAATAAAATAATAGGCCATTTTAAGTAAGGATGACTCTAAAGCTTCATTACTGAAGCTTCATTTGCTAAAGCGACTTCATTTAGAAAAAAACTTGGTCATCAACCACTATATAGTTGATAATCAATTATATAGTGATCAAGTAGTAGTATGGTGATTCTAGTAACTTTGGAAAAAGTAATAATTATGTGAATTTAGGCATTTCTGTTTCATCTTAAGAATCATAAAAATACATAGCAAAATATTAGTATTCTATAAGCTTTTTCTTTCTACAGACAACTAAAGTATATAAAAAGAATCTAACTTAAAGTGTCATTTTATCTTTCCTAGCCAGTATATACAGAAATGAGTACTCATCACTATAAATACATCCTCAGGGAGCAAAGCTGCATTCTCAATAGTCTCTGTGGTAGTTCTTTCTAAATGTGCTATGCAATGTGAATACCTCTGTACAGAGTACCACTCAAAAGTAAAAGGGAAGACTTAAATTATCACTTCATTTGTGAAAATTGATCCTGCAGGGAAAGTCAAACTAAAATGATGTGACTTTTACCTTGTGAGTACATGGTAGCAATCTTATATATTGACCAAGATGAAATGCCTTCAAGCAAAGTAGACACTGGTAGCCTGGAGCAAGCAGCTTACTATTCTTAGTAATCAGTCGGAGAGGCAGTGATCTTACAACGTGTTTTGGTGTGTGAACTTGGCTAAATGAGAATAAGTGTTCACATGTTATTATAGATCAGGAAGTGATCAATAGCACAGGTAAATAACCTCTATATAAATAATGTAATCAAACCCTAGGTTTTCTTGAACTAAAGACAATAAATCTCATACATTATAAAGTTAAAAAAAACTATTTTATTGATCCTGAACAATATTGATTCAACTTCATAAAGAACAAAGTTTTTAGCCACGCACAGTGGCTCACACCTGTAATCCCAGCAGTTTGGGAGACTGAGGTGGGTGGATTACCTATGGTCAGGTGTTTGAGAGCAGCCTGGCCAACATGGTAAACCCTATCTATAATAAAAATACAGAAAAATTGGCTGGGCATGGTGGCAGGTGCCTGTAATCCCAGCTACTCAGGAGGCTGAGGCAGGAGAATCACCTGGACCTGGGAGGTGGAGGTTGGAGTGAGCCAAGATCATACCACTGCACTCCAGCCTGGGTGACATAGTGAGACTCCATCTCAAAAAAATAAAAAAAGAACAAAGTTCTACATAGTCATATCAAATAAAAATGCCAACCTAAAATTTCTGAGTTTGAGTTGCACTTTAACGTCAATAAAAGCAGATCATATACTCAAATTATAATATTTTAGTCTGAGCCCACACTTAGGCAAATGTTTAGAAAACTATAAACAAATTCACTCTGTCTTCTGGTAGGAAGTGAAGTGTATAGTAAGCCACATTAAGTATTATAGACTACTATGACAAACTGGTAAATCATAAGAGCCAAGAAAATCTGTTTGCACTTGCGGTATATTCTTACCACTTCAATATTGTTAGACTATGTTAACATAACTCTAAAAGTACCAGCTCCATTTTTGTACCAGAAGTGCTGACTGACATAACTAAGCTGATAAACTATGAATTAACTGCTGTTTGATGCCATCGCAACAGGTAAAAGAGATACAACAAATCTTTAAGAAAAAAAGAAAGCTTGGTTAAAATGGCAGATGTATCCCTATCATTCAAAAGTCATTCAGAACAAAGTTAAATATATTCTTCAGAAAAGTCTGTACTTCTCATTACTCTACAGATACATCCCCACCATATTACAGAAATTGCTTTTACCAAAGTCATCTGATTTAAGTTAAAATGTGTGTGTGTGTGTGTGTGTGTATTTTTTTTTTTAGACAGAGTCTTGCTCTATCGCCAGGCTGGAGTGCAGCGGTGCGATCCCGGCTCACTGCAACTTCTGTTTGCCGATTCTCCTGCCTCAGCCTCCCGAGTAGCTGGGACAACAGGCACATACCACCATGCCCGGCTAATTTTTTGTACTTTTAGTGGAGATGGGGTTTCACCATGTTGGCCAGGATGGTCACGATCTCGTGACCTCGTGATCCACCCGCCTCGGCCTCCCAAAGTGCTGGGGTTACAGGCGTGAGCCACCACACCCGGCAAAAATGTATATTTTTAGAACTCCTTTAAGGTTGTTACCTACTTTTCTTTTTTCTGAAATTCTCTTTATTTATTCCATTTTCTCTGCCTAAAATGTCCTTCTTCCCCTAATGTTCTTCTTCTCAACTCCCTGTCCCGCAATATCTCCTAAGTCCAACCATTAGTTATACAACTTATCGTTCTAATAGGAGAAGTATAATACCTGTGCAGGGAAAATGGACTTTCAAAGCCTTTGTGTAGGCTTGCTTTATTTATCACTGCTCTGATCTCCAATGTGTGGAGTACCCAAGGCATGGGCTATATATCAATTGAGGTTTGGATAGAAACTTACATATACATGTGTATGTATATATGTGTGAAGGTATAGGTGTATTATATGTGTGTGTGTATATATGTATAGATATTTATACACACACACATATATATAGTGCTATATATATTTAGTGGGTACATTTTTCATTTGGTTGATTCATTGAAATTATTATTTTTAACTTCTATTTTATCCCATCTTTTAGAAGTTGTCTCTTCTATGCATTTCATAATGTACACAATTTTTCAATATTATATGACATGATAAATTTTCTTTCTTTCCTTCTTCTTATTCTTTTTTTTTTTTTTTTTTTGAGATGAAGTTTCACTCTTTTGTCCAGGCTGGAGTGCAGTGTTGCTATCTTGGCTCACTGCAACCTCCAGCTCCCAGGTTCAAGTGACTCTCCTGTCTCAGCCTCTTGAGTAGTTGGGATTACAGGTATGTGCCACCATGCCCTGATTTTTTAAATATTTTTTTTAAGTAGAGATGAGGTTTCACCATATTAGCCAGGCTAGTCTCCAACTCCTGACCTCAGGTGATCCAACTGCCTTGGCCTCCCAAAGTGCTGGGATTACAGGCATGAGCCGTCACCCCCAGCCTAAATTTTCTTTAGTTGAACAGTACTATTATAAAAGGTCTGAAGACCCCTCCACTAATAATGTTTTGAATCAATGTTCTGAAATATAACCAATCTCCTCAGCACTCTTCCTCCAACAGGGTAAAGTAGAGAGTAGACAGAAGGGAAATGAAGCAAAAAAGAACTTCTTTCCCTAGAGGCCAGTTATTTCAAAGGCAAATTTCAGATACCTTTGAATCTTTTTTTTTATAACATAATTTATGTCAGTTTCAATTTTACACTTACTTCAATGATTATTTGATGTACTGAGGAAACTACTGTATTCCCCATATCTAGTATAGTTTCTGGCCAAATTAATAATAACAGATAACATTAGTTGAATATTTATTGTGTATTAACTCATTTCATTATCACAAAATTCCTACAATACTGGTTTGAAAAATTATTCCCATTTTAAAGATGAGGAAAATGTGGTGGATAGAAGTGAAGTAACTAGACAACATGTGGTCGAACTATGATTGGATTCAGGCATTCCAACTCTACAGCCTTGCTCTTCAGTTGAATGCTACAGTGTCACCTAGTATATAAGTGCTCAATAAGAATAAATGAATTCATAAAACTTATTCCAGTTGAAAAGTTATTCAAAGATTCTGTCATACAAGACACACATGTTACTAGGAACCTCACCTTTGCTTTTCTTGAAAATGTGATATCTTTTCTTCTATCTCATTTTTAGTATCTATGTATTGTACAACTTCTTCTGTGCTTTTTTCTAGTAATCTCCAGTGTTGGTTTCTTTTCTGTAATAAGTAGAAAGTAGATGTTACTTTGCAAAGTCATAGATATTTTCATTTTGTGGATAAAAATTAGTAGGCTGCTTTTCAATAACATGAATAACACATAATATTTTAAAGCATACATATTATTTTCTAACACATTAAAATATTTACAAATTATTAGTGAGTCTCATATGCTATTGCGTCGCTACTATAAAGGCATTACTTTTTAAGGTAAAAATAATAACAATAATTGTGGATTTTTTTTTTGAGACAGAATTTTGCTGTTGTTACCCAGACTGGAGTGCAATGGCACGATCTCAGCTCACCGCAACCTCCGCCTCCTGGGTTCAAGCAATTCTCCTTGCCTCAGCCTCCCGAGTAGCTGGGACTACAGGTGTGCACCACCATGCCCAGCTAATTTTTGTATTTTTAGTAGAGACAGGGTTTCACCTTGTTGACCAGGATGAATTGTGGATGTTTTATCTTGCCTGGTAAATAGAAGGTAGTATTATTTAGCCTCTGAAGATACTTTTTAAGTGCACAGTTTAAATGATCCCAGTAAAATTCCATGTTTCATTATTATGTAAGAAACTTTAAGAAAAAATCATAAATATTTTGGTGTTACATTACAAGCCAATTTGTAACGTTGAGAGGTTTTAAAAACTAATTTTCAAGTTTGATAGCTGTAATTTCTGTTCCAAAATTTATTTATGTCATCACATTTTTCTTATTGTGTTAGATTTTATAAATTACCAGTGTAAGAACTGGTTGCCTTGTGCATCCTTATGAAAAAGAGTTCTCCTAAAAATATGGCTTCAGGTTTGTATTAAAAACCATTCAGCTCTATTCCACAGTGTTATGTATTCTTTTTATTCTTAGACTGACTTAGCTCCGCAACAGAACAAATAGAAACACCATATTAGATTCAAGATGGATACTGTACCTTACGAAATGTAAATGTGTGTGAAAGATGGCAGCAGCTATCAAAACATTCCTGACATAAGTGATATTCTATGCATTCGGTACACCTAAAAATATAAAACATCAAAACACACAAGAAAAAAATCCACTTATTGTGATGGTTTTGGGTGAAAATTCTGACCAAAACTTCCTGGGAACAATCTAAACATGACAAGGATCATTTCAAGTCACATTATGTATTAGTTTCCTATTGCTGCTATAAAAATTTACTAAAAACTTAGCTTAAACTGCACAAATTTATTATCTTACAGTTCGATAGGATAGAAGTCTGAGATGCATTTCAATGTGCTAAAACCAAGGGATTGACAGGGCTGTGTTACTTTTGAGGTGCTATAGGAGGGAATCTATTTCCTTGCCCTTTCCACCTTCTAGAACAGGGGTCACCAGCCCCAGGCGCCAACCTGGTCTGTGGCCAGTTAGGAACCGGGGCATACATACAGCAGATGAATGGTGGGCAAGCAAATCTCCACCTTCTGTCAGATCAGCAGTGGCATCAGATTCTCATAGGAGTGTGAACCCTATTGTGAACTGCACATATGAGAGATCTAGGGTGTGCGCTCCTCATGAGAATCTAACTAATATCTGATGATCTGAGGTGGAACAGTTTCATCCTGAAATCATCCTCAACAAGCCCTGTGAAAAAAATTGTCTTCCACAAAACTGGTCCCTGGGGCCAAAATGTTTGGGGACCACTGTTCTAGAGGCTGCCTACATTTATTAGCATGTGATCCTTTTCCTCCATTTTCAAAGCAAACAATGTAGCATCTCTCTGCCTTTCTTTCCCAGTAACATTTCCCTCTGACTCGACTCCCTCCTCTACATTTAAGAACCCATATGATTACACAGGCTTATCCAGGCAATCCCGGATAACCTTTCTATTTCAAGGTCAGCCGATTAGAAACCTTAATTTCATCTGCAACCTTAATTCCCCTATGACATGCAACCTGACATACAGGTTCTGGGCATAAGGATGTGGGCATTTTAGGAAGTCCATTATTTTGCCCACCATATGCCCTTTCCATGATGCCTTCTCAGGCTACCTTAGCTTTCATTTACCTCTTTCTCTAAATTCCTATAGGATCTACAGCCTATTAGACATTCTGTCATTTGATTATTCAGTGCTGCTTTCCAGTTGCATCTTGAATGCCAGAGTTAGCCGCATATTTCTTGAAAACAGGAATTATATTCTCTTTTCCCACAGAATGGAAAAAGGTAAACATATAAAATATCTCAATAAAACTATTGACAAGCCAAAAAAAAAAAACCACTTTCCATAAAAGCCCAATCTCAAGGTTATATTGTTTATAAAAATTTTGTGACAAGCAGAGGATTTTTAATCACTTGCAACATAACTTACCAAACTGAAAATATTCTGAGCATTAGTCAAGTAAACTGATTTTTTATTCAAGTTATGAAAGATTTAGAAGATTATTGCCATGAGAAATTTAAGAAAATATGGCCCTCGGACATCTTAAAAGAAGCAAATGCAAATTTATTCATTATTACTCAATACATACAGGGAAGATTTTAATAATTAACACCAATGGATTGGAGAAATGGTGCAATTCATTCAATACATCAAAGTATGCTGGGCTAGAAAAAAAGCATCGCTGTATTTTAATACAATCTAATAATTTTGGAATTAACCTCTTAAAAGATACAGTAGCTGAATTCTGAAATTTGAATGAAGAAGTAATGAAGAAACTTTCTAATTAATCTTGTTTCCTACTCAATATATTCCTAAAAGAATTGGAAATAGTTTTTCAGGCCAATGACTGAAATATCAGTACTCGAGGGAATGGAAGGAGGATGGAGTCACAAACATTGAAAATGCATTCTTAAATTCATAAAAGAGAATGGAGACAGAGATTAGTAATTGTTAGCGAAATCCATAGAGGAGAAGTTATGAGACAAGAAAAGATATTCTTAAAGGAGAGTGTAGGGCAGTGGGCAGGGGGCTGGATAGTGGGTGATGTGTTTACTTAGTAGGAAGAATAATGCCCCAGGACAGAAAGAGCAGTCAGAAAGCTCTGAATGACATGAGTGCACTCTCATCAACAACATACCTAAAAGCAAGATTTATACTAATGCTGCATGTAAACCATTTGAGGAACAATGATTGTAAGGACTCAGAAATTTACACTGTGGCCCTCACATGTCCTTGTTCCCCTACATGTCCCAGCCCCCTCTTTAACATGTGACGTTAGCTCCTTGCTGGTCCTATCTACCCCTCTTGAGAAAATTTTAAATTCCCCATATGATGGCTGCTAATACCAAAGATCAAGTTCTTCTTTTTCCTAGAATCCTCTTTAACCAACGTTCCTGAACCTCACTGAATACCTCTTGCTAGAAGTTTATAAAAATTCTGCACTTTTTCCCCAAGTGAGAATCCTCCCTAGGAGCCTTCTCAGGCCAGCCATTTTCCAATAAACACTTGTGTTAATAATTAACTTTCTTCTGTGTAACACATATAGAAAACAAAACTAAATTTAAAGGAGAAAGGTATAATTTGCTGTTGGATATGATAACATTTTATGGTTTTATGAGAGAATTTTAATACACATAATTTAAATTGGTCTCATCATAATGTAATTTAAGAAGACTGAAAAGCAAACTGATGCATTTCAAAAAAAATGTAACAAAAATTGAAATAATGTTCTCTTCTTAATGTACTGTTAACTTAAAATTTTAATTAAGAAAATGCAATTTCCCAGGCATAGCAATTAATTTATGTTTTATCATTACAATTGTGGGAAAGTTTGGGGGATTTAGTGAAAATTGTTTGCTCTAATAATTACCACTTTTTGTAGTTGTTGTTGGAGTATAAGATATGAAAGAAAACAAAACCTGTACTCACTGTGATTTGGGAGCGGGGACTGGATTAAATATTTGGTCAATCTAGTTAATATCCCTCTGGCCCAATCTTAGGAATTTTTGGCAATAACCTCATAGGTAGTTCAAAGAAAGGTACATAAAGTTAGAGATCCAGCAAGGCTCTGAGCTTGGAAACTCATCTAGGCTAAAGCCAGCTATCCTGTATCCAGAGCTTCTAGGATGGAGTGCTACTTCAGACTCAATCTAGACTAGAGCTCAAACCAATACCCCCATACAGAAGAAAATAAAATGGTTGGAGTTCCTGAGATACTAGACTGAGATAGATGGTCAGTCTGCAAGTCCTAAGTAAGCAACCATCACATAAGTCAAACAGCATATGTAGGAAGAGGGAGGCTACAGATCAGGTACTCAAATGCTCAAAGTTTTCTCATGTAAAAAGATAAAAACACGTGCTTATAACTTACAGATGACACTTACTTATAACACTTCCCCTTAATTGGAAATTGTTTGCAGTTATTACAGGGAATTCCAAGGTGTGTGTCCAGTTTCTCTTTCTCTGCTGCAGCTACAAGTTTGCTAGCATTTTTGAATTCCTCCAAAATAAGTTTTAATGGTGCAAACTCTTTCCTGCACAGAGGACATTTCAACATGGAAACGTTTGATATATTCTGATAATTAGCTAAGATCTTCATGCATTTTATATGAATATTATTGCCACAACCAAACCTACGAGAGAGAAAATTCAAGTTTGCCATTTGTATACAGCAGTTTTATAGATCCATTGTATATATTATATATATTTATATAAATAAAATTTTCTGTGCTACCATCTTTATTCCACATACAAATAGATTCTGAACTGATTTTCAGATATAGCTTGATTACATACACACACACAAACTTACTCACTCACTCTATTAATCAATCATCTTTAATACAATAAAATCCCAAACCTAAATTTTCCTTCATTCTAATGAAATGGTGAAAGACTTTGCATCATTAAAATATTTTCATTTGTAAAATGAGAATAAATATAGGCTTAACACAAAGGAAAATAATATTATTATTTTAATAAACTGCTTCACTGAGAGCAGGGTGCCACCTTACTTTTCCAGAAGTCACACAATACATGATATTACCAAAGAAATATCTACTGAGAAAAATATCATTTGGGGAAGTGGTTAACAATTTTACAATATGCAATAGAAGCAGACAGATTAACAACCAAAATAGGAACAAAAGTTTTGTTAAATAATCAGAAGAAAAAAAGAATAAAAAATTGCAATGGCAAATGACTGTCCACAATTTTTCCAGTCCTACTTTATAGTGCTGTGAAGAAAAGTATGAATATTAGACTCTCAATAAACATTTGTGCATATGTCAAAATTGAATTATTTAGGTTTACAGATAGAATTTTGAAAAACTGAAAATAATTTTTGTAATTTCAAAGTAAAATAATCTTTACTTTCAGAAAACTCTTTATAAATATAATATGCCATAGCATTTACTCGTGTGTATAAAATAAAAACACAGAAATTATTCTACTCTTGTTATTCAAGGTGGGAGGAGAAATAATTATGAAATTATGTTTCAGTTTTCACCCTTGAAGTGTAGCTCAGAAAGATTTAGAGTAAGAGCATATATGCAGCTTGTAACATATATGTATATGTTAGGAAACAAAATAATGTTAATTAAATATAAATTAGCAGTAGGTAAGGTTGTCTATTTTTTCCCTATCATGTCTCCTAAGGTAATAAATCACAAACATGTTTTAGAATTTTTCATAAATTTTAGAATCCAAAGAAAAAAATACATCACCTACAGAAGGTGACAGGAAGCTTTTTCTCTAAAAGTAGCTCTTGACAAATAGAGCAGATATCCTCTGAATCAATTTCCTTCTGTTTAATGTATTCATCTTCTTTAACATGTTCGTTTTTGTCATCTGTTCCTGGTTGGGGAGTTTGAACTCGATGTATCCCCCGAAGCAAGTCATTTATCTCTCTTTCCCCAAGACCCATCCTTAAAGCAGCTAGTGAAAAATCCCAAAGTATTAAAATTCAGTCACAAAACTGGAGATACAGAGAGGTAACAACTTATGCCAAAAGTTAGAATTTTCTTTCAAATATCAGAGAGACAGTTTTGACTGAATTGTTACACTGACACTGACCACTTCTTTATATATTTTTTTCAGAGCCAAAATTTCAGAAGAGAGTCATTTTAAAAATATAAAAATTATTTTTTTTCTTGTTACTAAAGAAGAGTCAATGCAAACAGTGCACTTGAATATGGCACTGTTCATCCTTGCATTGGTGTCACAATCATGTCATATACTTTGATCTGTTCTCTTGTCCATAAACAAATATTTTGTCAACATATAAGAATATTAAAATAATTAGGACATGAATATATAAGGAAGAAATAGGGATATCTGAGTAGCTACTCTATTTGCTAGATGAGTATGTGAATGAAAAAATAGTGGAGCAAGACTTAATTGTGCGTATTTTCTGTTTCTGTTTTGTGTACCTACAAAATAGTGTCTTATTAGTCTTGTCCTCAAGAGATTTGGTCAGTATTTCTCAGGACAATCTACTAGTTACTACATTGCCTGTGCCATTGGCATGTGCATTTTTTGAATTCTGAATTTTCTCCATCCTGTAATCCTTAAGGGAATGATGTTCTAAGTGCCTATAGTTTTGAACAGGGAATCCCAGATTCTTTATTCATTGGCCCATCCCTTTGCTCCTTCCAACATGCCATAATTTAAATGCTAGTTGTTATTGGTCCCCTGCCTTCTATTCAATTTGTGTATTTTATATATATAATTTTAAATTATTTCCAAGATAATGAAATGCTCTGTTATTCTGGAAAGACCCACCCCCAAACTAAACCCTAAAAGTACTAAAAACAGCACAGTTACATTTCAATACAGAAATCACTGTTCCCTGTCTGAGGTGGTGTGGCAAGTGCACCGTTGGAGGGCATCATACGTTAATTAACCATTACTTTGGGGAAGAAGGTCTATTTGTCACAGAGACACAGCAACATCTGCTCTCTAAAAAAGGGAAGAAATATTAAAAAGAAACAAAATATTGTGCTTTCAGAAATGAAGATGCTCTGGGACAACAGAAATATTGAAGAATAAAATTTCATAAAAGAAGTTGGCCACAAAATGTTCTGTGTGGTAAAATGTGAATTAGAAAATAAAAGGAAGAAACAATCTCTTGTAAAGTGAATTTGAAAAAATTAATGTATAAGACTATATAGGAATATTTTGAAAGAAAAGAGCAAGACAGCTAACCTGAACTGATGTCACGATGTGTTGTACAAATAATAAATGTAATAATATATGAGAACTGTCTAAATAATGAACATTGTTAAAGAAGAAAAGAAGGATTACCCAATACTATGAGATAACTGGGTGACAATATGGAGGAAAATTAACTCAAACCAAATACCAACCTCCAACTTGTACCAAAGTGACTACACACTGATGCTATTATGTAATGAAGAACAAAAATAATAATAAAATGAGAAGAAAAAACTCCAAAGGACTATCAATACTATGGAAGAAAGACAATGTTTAAAGGGTTGAAACAATAAACATGAAAAGAACATATGATCTGATTTAATAACACAAAAATTCATATATATAACAAAATTCAATAAATCCATAAAGAAAATATTTATAACAGATTAGAAAAATATTTGAAAAAGCAATGCTTATAATATTTAAGAAATGTTTGCAGTTTTTTCGATAACCAAAGTACAATTCACATGAAACACAAATCATAAACACGGCAGTAGAAGATGTTCAATTTCATTGGTATTGAAGACAAATGAGTTAAAATAAGAATAAAGCACAGACACTAAATAAAACTGACTGAATAAACAATAATAAATATTATGATTTGTTTGCCTTATGTTATTTCTTTTGTATTTAAAATAGTTATTTGAAGGCATTTTAGATCTTCCATAAAGGAATGTTAAATAAATATACTGGAGAATAGAAACTATTTTCTTATTTAATTTATCGGGCATGGATAGATTATTATGAACATTGTATCTGGTGTTTTTCCTGCTTTGTGTGGCTTTCTTTACAAAATTATAGAAATATTACTAACATGGCAAAATATTTCTATTTGTCTTTATTTTCATATTTCTTAAATACACTGTTAATATCTTTCTTTGCATGCTAAGTACTATAGTTAAAATATGCCAAAAACAAGAATCCAAAAAACAAATAAAACTTAAAGAAAGTGACATATTGCTGAAATCAGTGTAAATCAGCAAAAGTATTCTGAAAAGAAATTTGGCAAAACATATGGGAGAAAGACATAAAAATATTAACACCTCTACTCCAAAACACAATAAGACTTTAGGCTAAAGAAATATTTGAAAAGAAGAAAAAGCTTCATGTACAAATTATATAACAAGTAGTTAGATAAATTAAATGCCTAATAATGGAAGAATGTTAAATTGCTTATAGTATACCATATTCAGTGAAATATTAGCTAGCCTTTGATGACTTTCATTACAGAGATTATATAGCATTGAAAATATAAAGTAACAGTGTCTGATAAAAGCAGAACACAGAATTCTGAGAGACTATTAGACTGTTTTATGGTATATATAAAATCATAAAAAGAAAATAAAAAGTTTATATCTTTCTGGTAAGAATTTAGAAAAATTTCTTTTAATGAGGTTTACATTTTATTCATAAATATTTAATTACAAAAAGAATAGGTAGTATTTACTAGTCATTGTATTTAAAATTATTAGGTGGTAAATCAGGTTTTGTTGGGAAAATATTTGTAGAAAAAGGAATGTTCAGTGTTCAAAAATTGACACTTTTTATAATAAAATTCTCATATAATCACCTTGTTGGTCTTCAAAAAGAAAAGAGAGTCTGAGGTGTTTTTTGTTTGTTTGTTTGATTTTTAGCTCTGTCACCCAGGCAGGAGTGCAGTGGCATGATCTCAGCTCTCGGCTCACTGCAGCCTCCTCCCCCAGGTTCAAGCAATTCTCCTATCTCAGCCTCCAGAGTAGCTGGGATTACAAGCACCCACCACCACACCCAGCTAATTTTTACATTTCTAGTAGAGATAGGGTTTCACCACATTGATATGGGTCAGGCTGGTCTGGAACTCCTGACCTCAAGCGATCTGCCCACCACAGTCTCCCAAAGTGCTGGGATTACAGTGAGCCACCTCATGGAGTCTCAGGTTTCTTATATGCAACAATACAATATAGATAATTGCTTCCAGATTCCTTTCAGAAAAGAATCCTTGAATGATGTTCAAAACTCTTCTCTTCTATTACAAGTAACATTTTCTCCACACTTATTTAAATACTATATGTAATCCTAATCAGTAATTATTTGTAGTTTTCTTTAAATTATTTTTCATGTATGTTTATTCTAGCTTTAATTTAAATGAAAAATTTCAAGATCACTAAGACTTGCTTTCTTTGAATATTATTATAGTTTCTAGTATTACACATGGAATTTTCTCAATGTTTACCATATAAAATTTATTTTAAATACAAAAGATATAAAAATGTTTATTTCAGAAGAAAGTACAAATTGTCAAATTACATAGGATTAATTTTAAACATTAAAAAAATCCTTACTGTAGACTGAATGGTTGCTGTCATCAATAAGTGCAAATAATAATAATACAACATAAAATATTAAATTGATCAGTACAAAATTGCTGTGTTTTAGATAAAAAACATTCATGTACCAGCAATACATATGATTCAATCTATAAAAAGTACCTAGCATAGCTCCTGGCAAATGTGTGGTATAATAAATATTTGTTGAATTTAATCGGGTAGAACTGCACTGCTGAATATGGTAGCTGTTAGCCATAGGTAACTATTGTATACTTGAAATTTGACTAGTGTGACTGAAAAACTAAATTTCAAATTTTTAAAATTAAAAATTTAGTTTTTAACTTAGAGCTGATAATCTATAGTTATGAATATATATATAAGCATGTAACAATTTGAATATGTGAATCTATTTTTCAACTAAAATTTTTTAGGAAGTCTATATACAGATCAAATATTTTCATTGAAAAATAGGGTCAGAATGGATATGCACTATAAGTATAACAAACACACTAGATTTTGAAAACTTAGTATTAAAACAGTAAAATAGCTCATAATTTTTATATTGATTACATGTTGACACAATAATATTTTGATGTACTGGGCTAAGTTAAAATATATATTAAAATTAGTTCCCTGTCTCTTTTCACTACTTATAATATGGCTACTAGAAAATTACATATGTATATTATATTCCTATTGGACAACCTCAGTATAGAAGCTTGTAAGAATAATACAGAAAAATAATGTAGAGAATGACTAAGCCTTTGGAGGTGGGAGGCCAACATTTAACTTCAGTGAATAAAATGGAGAAGTCAAAAAGAAAACAATATGTATGAAATCATACAACCTAGTCAACAAGCAAGAATGGAATGAAAGAGAGGATTAAGAAGAGGGTGACATTTTAGAAAGCATCTGTCTGTCTAGAGGATGAAAGACCAAGTGCAAAGCACAGCAATTAAAAACAAAGAGGCGAGGAAGGACTCAAGATGGTGCAGTGAGAACAACCCAGGTTTGAAGCTCTCGGTGAATGTGTGGAGAGGGTGAGTCAGGGCCACATTTCCAGACGGATCTTTGTTGCCCACAGAACAGGGAAATTTCCAGGTATAAAAGAGACCTGGGACGCCAGGCAGAGGTTTTGGCTGGTGCAGCTGGTAGCCGGTGCGGCCGGCGGCTGGCGCTGAAGTGCAGTGGCGCTACACAGAGCTCCACACAAAGAGCACTGGTCCGGGTGCCCAGTTGAACCGGAAATCTGAGACTTCAGAGGGCTGAACTTGAGACTGAATGGGACTTGGACAGTGAGCCAGCACAGGAGATTCCAGGGATACAGCTTTTGGGATAGCGCAGTGGGACGAACAAAACGGCAATTCCAAACGCTCCCAGTGGAGAGGTTCCCTGAGGGCACAGCTGAACCCAGTA